CCCAGAAACATGCCACGAAAAGTGTGCCGAATAATGGCCGAACACCTCATAACTTGAGATACATATGTCCTTATTTAACCCAGACACCAATTATCCATTTTGCAGAAAACTGCTTATAATAAGAACAAACGTCATTTCATTTATTTTTTGAATACAGCACCCTTAAGCCAAAATATTATCTTCGTTAAAAAAGAGTGGAGGTTAGTAAAACGTTTGCGACTTGACATCTAGTACTCCTCGTTTTTTAGGTTCAATTGGTCGAGTGAGACCTAGCTGGAGATTTCGAAGATAGAAGAGGGATTTCGGTGAGACGTTCCTTCATCGGGTTTTCAGTTCTTCAACCAAAACTTTAAGAGCTGTCCACATTTCTTCGCCCACGACTGGTATATATGCTGCTGGAAGAAGGAAATTGTAGGTTCCACTGTCTGGCAGCTCAATTGTGTACGCGAAGGGTATTTTCAATTCTCCGCTGGCGAAGTCGTCAGAGCCTCCAGCTGCGGCGTCTGCAATTTTTGAAAACGCTCATGTACAGGTTGCGTCTGTTACAAAACACTGAAGCGCAATATCTAAAACTATCGGCATAGTAAGGGTCTCACTGGCCACGAGACTGAATATTCAACACAATGTGGATAAATAGCATTGGACGGTGCTGACCACAGTACCAAAATTATTTTATGTGTAGTGCCCTATTTTCTGCACCAATTCGATATTCAGTTTTTAGAATTACATCATCAACACTGGCACCACCACCACCACCGCCATCGCTACAACTTACAGAGCAGATCGGCCGCACTGCCCACGCTGTAGACGTTGCCATGCGTTTGCCAAATAGTCCGTATCACCTTAATGGCCATGTTTATCTGCAAAGGGAAAACGCCAAAAACGTTGGTTCTAAAGACAAATTATATGTTGACAGTCGTCTATACAGTGCTTGAAAGCTCATCGTATATGATATTGAATAAAGGCAAAACGTGGGTGAATTCCTAGGCCAGAAGATATTTTCGGAGCGATTTTTATACTGATCATTTCTTTTGATCTGAGAAGCAAGCGTTAGTTTACAAAAAACAAGCCTCGAGAAATGAGGCCCAAGGCAAAGGCGGAGCGGAAAAAGTGAGTTCCGTTAGCGGTCGGTGAACGTTCAGCAACGAGTGCAAATAACAGTTCGCTGAACCTACAGACAGTCATTGCATCTCTTGAAGGCATTACAGAGGTGGACGACCTGGAAAATTAAGGGTAGGATTACTTCTGTGACCAACTAAACGGGAAATGAGAATAGGAACCGCCAATCGTAAGGTGTCTACGCCATGGAAATCAGGGTTAGGGTTAATTTTGGAGTAAGGTTGCTTTATCTGCCGATCACATTTCATCCCTCGAGATAGATGTTTAGTTAAACAGCGTATCTTGAATAATTGGTAGGCAGTGATCGTGAACAGTTGAGGACGAAGTCATACAATTCAGTGTCAGCATTCCAGATTGCGTATTTCGTCTCATTTGTCCTCTGCAAAAAAACGTCGCCTACGAAATATTGCCTAATAGCCGTGATGCAGCCTATAGTGGCCAAACCAGGAAACCGGTCTCCACACGCTGTGACAACTGCCACGCTCACACACTTTGGATGCTAACCCTCTCGGGTGCGAATGCACACTCATCCGACTGTCCACTGTTCTCTACTGCCTCTGTACAGGATATATTATTTCTCCTACCTGGCGTCTAACTTATTCTCGTTTGACACAGAACTGGGCCTTAAGATCACGGCGTCAAGGGTTTTATCTATTAACTTAGGCCGCTACTATATACTTCCCTAGCAAAACTAGACGCCAAATCAGTACAGAATAAAATATGATGATAAACATTTGGGTTCATTAAAAAAAGGCATTCATATCTGCCCGACCCACCAATTCGTCGTATCTGGGTGGATACTGGCTGCGTTGGTAGCCGAAGGGTGTCAGCATGTACTGACCGTAGGAGTGCAACGTTAAGTAAAGTCTGACATTATGTTTGATCTCCTGCAGTTTGTCTATTACTGCCTTGGATTCTGGCTGGTCACCACCCTTGCCTCCCATGTAGGTTTCACTGCAGGGCCACGTCGAAGCACCGCGCACGCCTAAAAGTCCAAAAACAAAATTGGAATCGAAGACGCTGACCAAATCACCTCAAAGGTTCTCCATCCAACAGAGGGGAAAATTGGATATGGAGAGAACTACTGGTAAAGAAGGAGGACCTCAAATCCTCAGGTGACGGAGGCCCTAATCAGTCTATGGGTTTTTTTATTGTTCTAACATGCCTACATATTTGATTTAAGTAGCCATACTATATGCGATTTACGGGCTAACCTTAAACAATTGATTAAAGGCGAGGTATAGGTTAGGATAAGGTTTGCGTTTCGTATATCGTGTCGTCCAATCCAAGTTTCTATAACAAAGAACTTTTACCGGAACTCGCCTGCGCAGAGTATTTGAACAAGGCCACCCTACGGACCTTGCCTGCAGAGTGTCAGCGGCTCAAGAATCTTCAGCATTGTTCTACAATTGTTCACCAACCGAGTTCCTCAGTTGCCGCCACCAACGTTCATCCGGACACTAGCAACAATTATGTGTCATCTTACAGGTCCAAAGACTCGATCTTTAGAAAACTACAGACAACATGATGGTAATGTGATA